TCTGCTCTAATATTCCCTTTAAACTTCCTTGAATGCAGCATTTAGTCTCAAATTAGATTTCTTACTGTTTTCAAAGGTTTTACTCGACGTTAAAGCCCAACTCTGGAAGAGAACGGACCTTCAGGAGTAGGATTGAACACCTCTGCCCAATTCCAAAGCTTATCTAAAATCTCCATCATGTAATATACTAGATGCAGTGTCGTGCTCCGTGAATACAGATGAAAAGAGTGCCTGGTTCTCAAGGTGTGCATATACTTGAAAAACATATGTGCAGGTCACGAGACAAGTGACATTCACAATAAACAAGTGTTTGTCAATGAGTGTGCTTGCATGCATGTTCTTAACATCATTTATGTTGTATGAACATTGAGTATAAAACGAAGCCATGTTTCATTAACCAGAGTTACAAAAGTTGCATATGGTAGCTTTAATAAGCTGATAATAGATGTGGACAAATGTGTACCTACATTTTTCTTTTATAACAATAAGGGACATAAACAGTGCAAAGAAAAAATATATAGATTTTTAAAATGAAGTTGACATCACTAAAACTACTAATAAATATTTAAATTATTATTAAACAAGTCTCGTAGATGCAGTTTACTCGCATTGATGGATTGATTTGGATGTAAACCAAGACTACAGGTAATTTCAATGAGCTCATTTTTGAGTTACCATAGTTTTTGGGGGGGTGTAAATATGCCCAATATGAAAATTCGACATGTGTACTTTTATAGTCAGTATGACAATACCCACTTATGCATGTTGATACTTTAAATGTGCATGTTCTCTTCACGCGTGTCCAAACAATAGAATCAAAATGAATAGTGTAAATATATTTGCATTACAATCCAAAGAGAAAGATTACAAGCAGCGTCACAGATGTAACGTCCTTGGGGAAAATATTTACTTTTAACATACTTCACGAGGACGTCATGTGAGAAGGCGTGTCCACACACCCATACCCCCAAAAATCGGCGCACAGAGTGCATAAGCTGTAACATACCTTGGCCGCTCAGATTGGGGTTGGTGTAGTCCCAAGTATCCTGATCATTTTTGAAGACATTGAGACGTGTTGGCTAAACAAAAATAAGACATGGTTTCGTAAGGGCTCTATAAACATTTTGTTTAAATTAAAAGCTACGAAGGGACCCATTATATATTTATATAGTCTTTCCAACATGGGTCTCAAACTCGATTCCTGGAGGGCTGCAGCTCTGCGTAGTTTTGCTCCAACCCTTATCAAAGACAGCTGATCTAACTAATGAAGACTACAAGAGACAATTAAGCAGGAGTGAGTTGTATGGAGCTAAACTGGGCAGAGCTGTGGCCCTCCAGGAGTTTGAGACCATTGAACAATTTAACTGGCTTATTTTCTACAAAATGTTCAGAACATTTAAGTTGCATGATATGACTGCAAAGGGCACTGCGTAGACACAACCATCTGATACATGTGATGTTATGGGGTACCAACCTTGGCATACTCAATTTTTAGGGTGCAGCAGCCAGAGTAGATATCTGCTCCATTTAGAGATGCTTTGGCCCTCTGCGCACTCTGGACTGAGTCAAATGTGACCAAAAATCAAGGAGAACAATATTTCTATTGTAAACAAGAGCATGCAGTTGAAACTACACATGGGCAGAGTTTACATTTGATTTGATGAAAAGACAAAGCATAATGCAAAGAAAACAAAAATCACAATTACATACAACAAATTGAAAGCACTTTGATAAAGGATATTCGACCATGGCTTGAACTCCATTCTTCCTGAAAATCACGATTCTTTGCACGGGTCCACAATTATTACAAATGGTGTACAAAACATCCTATAAACAGAAAATTATATAGTATAAACAAAGCACAGGGACAAGGAAGAATTCAAATGCAATAGTATACAGAAATGTAGCAGAATAAACTCAGCTACTCCTTGATAAATGAGCATGAAAGAACTTACCGAGGTAATGGGGTAGATGGGGTTCATGATGGTGAGGAGAAGCACATTGTTGACGCTTCGTGTGTCATCGGAATCAGTGGGCCGAGAGATTTTCTGACTGGTAGAGTAGTTGATGTAGGATGGCCGGCCAGCAATGTAGATCTGATTATTGTTAGCGTAGGTCACTGCATTACTGGCACCATTCATGTCCTCAAACTCCACCAGAGCCTGACGTTTCTTTGGCATCAACACAACGTAACTGAAAACAAAACATGCATACAGTAAATAACAATTTTAGACCTCTGCAGAAACACTCTTCCAAACTCAAATTAATGGAAAACTCTACAGAAATACAAACATTTGATCAATTTTACTCAACTCAATTTCTGTTAATTTTTCGAAAAGTCATAAATCAAGTACCTTTGCAAAGATAGCAAGTAGGACATTTAACCTCAACACTTATGCTCTTTTTTTTTTGTTAAATAGTGTAAGAACACAATACATAAACATAACTTAACAATAAATGGTTGTCTTGTTGTAAAACACACCAATCTAATTATTAGAAATTTTTTTTAGAAAAATAAAAAATTTAGATTTTTTTTGTTGTTGTCTGCATGTAGTTTCCAATGTAGAGCGTAGGTCCCAAATTCAATTCCTGGAGGGCCGCAGCTCAGCACAGTTTTGCTCCAACTCTAATCGAACACAGATCATCCAGATAATCAAGGTGTTATGAGTCATGAACACCTTCATTGGTCGAACCAGCTGTGTTTGATCAGGGTTAGAACAAAACTGCAGAGCAGTGGCCCTGCAGTAATTGAATTTGAGACCTATAATGTAGAGAAGGCTATAATAGCAATTTATACTGTACTACAATACTTTGAGAACCATTAATAATTTATTCTACTGGATTTTGGTGTCAATATATATTAAAATATATGGATTAAACTTTGAAAATATAAAAGTTTGTGTCATAGTGGGAGTCCTTTAAGACTAGTTACTGATTTACATACTTATCTCTAAAATAAATGTATCCCAAATACACGTATTCAAATTCTTTTCCAAGTTTACTTCTAACACTTTTCGCAATAATTATTGTTACAAACCAGCTTTACAAAAGGTGCACATTATTTTCTTTCCCCCTAAATTAAAATTAAACGAGTGCAGCTGGGGCTCTTCACCTGATGGTGCCAAACTCCTGCAGCGCCTCAACCAGGTCAGCCTCGGTAATGCCGTCAATGAGCCCCCTCACATGCACTACAAGAGAGGGCAAGGTCTTGTGCGGGTCATTATAACCCTCCTGCACACACAATGGGAAGAGAGAAAGATTCAATCAAACAATAGTATAAAGCTGGCCTGCTTGTGTATGCCTAATACAGTCACATAATCAATTCAACCATTCATCTCACAATGTTAACAGTTTAGTTCAATAAAGCAGACGGTACTGAAGATACAAACTAGTAAAATGTATCCAATTAGCATAATTTATACCGAAACCAACAGTAAAAAATGAAAAACAAAACACTTGCCTTTGGGTTTTCAAAAACTACACGACGTTTTTCGTTGATTTAATACAATGCACGTCTGTTACAAGACAGGATGAACGGTTTAACGTTACAGCAAAGACGGAGCGGACCGAGAAGAACAATGAATGAGCATTGAGTACAGCACTCCTGGTCGATATTTGTTATAGGTAACATTTAAAAGTAGCTAACTAACGTTAGATGAATGAATTATACATTTCACATTATGGCCTATACTTCTTTTATTCGCCAAAACCCATGCAAGTTAATTATGTCACAATACTGAACAAACTGGAGAGTTAGCTTCAAGCCTAAGTTAGCAAGTAGCATCGCGTGCTGAATGAAGAAAAAAACGCTTTTCGGAAATAAAACGAATTTTTAACGCCACATGCATGACATATACAATAAAGTGAAAGAAATCAAAGTACCGTGTCCATTCCGTCGCTATCTGTTTTTTGTCTTTTTGTTGCTCTGCCTCCGTCGCCGTAATAATGGCCTGCAGCAGCAGCCATGTTGTCTCAAATGAAGTGATCTAAAATGGAACACACCGCTGGTGCTACGGCAAGCCGCAGGGGGGAGGGGGAGGTAACGCGAGAAAAAATGGGATGACACCGTCTGCGTAGTGCGCATTTTCTTCGAGGTGGTGGCGTGTATGTTTGATATACCAAAATGCCATTTAGGACGATGATATATGGAATTTATGACGATATAGTATTTATCTGGTTAACAGCCTATTCATACACACATACGTCATTTTTGTCATAGGCTATGCACCGTACTGGTAAATAAGGGGAAGTAGGCTTCCTGAGTTCTACACGTCCCCAGCAAAAGCACTTTGTAAGAAAAACGTGGTTTTGAGACACTGTGGTTTACAAAGGACACATTTTTAAGTACACAATTTAGTTTATAAAACTTAAAGCAGAGAAAAGGGTATCACTCTGCCTCACAAACCATTGGAAACGTTGACTCCTGAGGCCCTCTGTCGTGGATATGCTGTTTTTGCTTATTTAACACACCTGATCCAAATCAGCTTCTTACACCCTGGGTGTTCAAACTTAGTCCTGGAGGGTTGGTGTCCTGCTGAAAATAGATTCAACATAAGAGCCATGAAGTTTCTAGTACAGGGGTGTCCAAACTCGGTCCTTGATAGAGTTTAGCGTCAATCCACATCAAACACATCTAAACCAGTTAATCAAGCTCTTACTAGTGAACTAGAAACTTCCTGTCAAGCGTGTTGAAGCAAGTTTAAGCTAAATCCAGCAGGGCACTGGTCCTCCAGGATCGAGTTTGAATACCCCGTTCAAGAATTTAGTCAGAGTTTGTTTAAGGTTGGAGCTAAACTCTCCAGAACCAAGTTTGTAAACCCATCTTACACCATGATGTGATTCAGTTTTATTGTATAATAGCAATACCATTACAATTATTTTAAGAAGTCAAAAATTTAACAGATTCAACCTATTGTTTTGTATTTTAAATGCAGATATTTAAACCAGTACACTTCAGGTCACCAAAAAAAAAAAAAAAAAAAAAAAAACCACTGAAAAAGTTGGATTTGTAAAGCTTTATTAAAAAGATCATTGCCATTTTCAATGCCAAAAAAAAAACCTTCTACAAACAAACAAATCACAGCGTACTCAGTTCATATAATACACTGACTAAATCACAACATAGCTCATTCACCACCTTACCCACAAATCACTGACCACAGGACACTGGCTCAACACTGAAAATTAAAATAATTGAGCTCTTAAAAAATAATTCAAAGGGAAGGGGGGATAAAAGGGAAAATATGCATGAGCTGCTTGAGATGACAGTGATGTTTTTACAAGGTGGGAGGAGGTGTCACTGAATTCTGGGAAGGGAGAAGAACGAGAAAAAAAAAAAAAAGCTTTGCAGCTACAATAGAACCAGTATTGAACTCATGGGGAAGATAAAATGTATTTCAGCCCTGAGGCAAAGGTGGGGAATGGGGGTGAAGCATCAGTATTCAGATCAGTCAGCATCCGGTGTTGGACTTCTCCTTGGGCTGGCAGACCTGGAATGACTAAGACACACAAACTGTTAGCATCTATACATTTTCCACCAAGAATGACCTAACTGAAATGTGCTATTGTGTAAATCGGTTTACCTGTCTTTCTTGTGACTGATCGAACGAGATCGAGAGCGAGATCTGGAGACACTGCGATCCCTCTGCCTGGAACCAGACCGTGAACGGGAGCGAGAACGACTAGAAAGGGGGGAAAATATAAAAAAAATAAATAAAGATTCTAATTGATATGCCATTCACCACAGTAGAACTTCTCATTTTATCCAGGAAAAATAAATACAGCGATTTTGCCTGGGTTAAACATGCGTGCAGTACCTGTCTCTATGAAGAGGTGTCCTGGATCTGGACCTTCGAACAGGGCTCTTTGACCGGCGTACAGGTGAACGTGACCGGCCACCAGGGCTTCTGGATCTGGAGCGGCCTGGGGATCCTGACCTGCAACAGAAAAATAAAGAAAAAAAAAAAAAGACATTTAGAAAGAACAGGCTTGTACAACAGTGTTATAGCAAATCAATAAAGCAAGAGGAGTAGAAATCAGGAGTCAGAAATCAACTCAAGTTTAAGTATTTGCTTTCTGATTTCTGGTGACATTTCACAACTTCCAAAACGTAACCAATTCTTTGGAGAAAAATAAATAAATATTTCAGAAAAACTGAAGTCTTTCACGTTTGTTAATAATGAAAAATAAAAAAGCTGTGATCTTGTTCAAGCCTGTATGGGCATTTTAGCCTTCTTATCTTGAATACGATGGGAAATCTTTGCTCATTTTGTTCGGACCCTGGCAGAAACAGGCACTGACTGAGGGCTTACCTGCTTCTGCGTTTCGAGTATGAAGGTGAACGGTACCTCCTGAAAAAAATAAGATTACATAAAATTCATAACTGCAAAGCATTTGAAACACAGCCAAGCGGTAACAAGACTTGCCTTTCATTGCTACGACTACGAGAGCGGTAGCGGCGACCACGAGATCTGGACCGGGAACGAGATCCTGACCTAAAAATATATATTATAATTAGTAGCAATACAAAGGAGTCAAAATAAAAATAAATCAAAATCTTGATTCACATACCTGCTGCGTCTGCTTCGCCTCTTGCTGAAACGATAGCAGTCGTAGGCATAATGACCTGTCTCCCCACACTGGTAACAGCGGTCATTGGGGTCAAATTGCCTGCGGCTGGGACGGCCATAACGGGACTTTCTGGACATACCATTAGACAGCTCAACTCTGACACGGGCTCCACAAAGCACCCTGGGATATCACAGATCAGAAGGTTAGTGGCCAATCCAAGGTGCCACACATACACATGACAAATGCTGTCTAGGAAAATCGCAGACCATTTTTATTTTCAGACCCTTCACACATTGCCTAGATTCAGGTAAAGCTCAGGAAAAAATAAGACAAACAACTGAACTGAAACAGGACAACAATTATTGTGCATCCAGAAAAATATACCACATAAGTTGGGGCCTTTGTGAGCGGAAAGAAAACTGATAAACCGCCGTCACTCACCCCTGCGGGTCTGAGCTCCCTGAAGTGGTCAGGGTGTTAAATGTGCAGCAGTAGCATCATCAAATGTAGGCAGGTAGAACTCAAGTTGACTCACTTTCCATCCATCCCCTTTACGGCATCCTCTGCATCTCTGGCATCCTCATACTCTACGAAGGCGAAACCTGGAGGGTTCCGGGCGACCCATACACTCCTTAATGGCCCGTAGTAACTGAAGGCTCGTTCCAGCTCACCTTTGGCTGCACCATTACCAAGGTCACCCACATAGACCTTACAGTCAGAGGTGCGAGAGGAACTCCGGGATGAGTATGACATCTTGCACCTGTAGTACAAAAAAGTTAATTGTGGCAATTTATTCAATTAAAAACCCTAAGTTTTTAAATACTTTAAACATGCTTAACAATGAGATAAAGGTACAGTTCACCAAAATTACAATAATCTTAAAATTAAAAGCATTTGGTTACCAATATTTTTAACTTTCTTCGCGTTCCACAAAAAGAAAGGTACTGCACTGTGTAAGGTGGTGACCATTTTTAAGTGATTTTTTTTAACTAACAACCTGAAGGCACTTAAGCAGTGGTTCTACGAATATGTACATGGTTAAATCAACAAAACAATCTTAAAACAATTTAAGGGTAAAGATGCTGGTTCTTGGGACTGCATGGCACAGCATTAAACATTCAGTGCGCATGTTAGCACGTTACTGTAGTAACGCACGCAGTGCAGCTCCAGCTCTGCCTGTGCTAAAAACATCTCACCTCGCGGTCAGCTGTTCACATGTAACCCAAATCTGTTAAAGCTTCAGACGTGTTAAATCACTGTTAACAGACAGCACAAACGTATTCATTTCTTCGAGTATTAGGTTAGTTTCGCTTTCCTCTATATGAAGGAGTCTCTTCAACTGCCGATCTGCGGCCATGATGAATGACTCGATCGTGTTTATCAACAAAACGGATATTTAGAAATGTACAGCGGCCCCCGACATAAAGGCTTCATAAGCACGATATAGATTACATCTTACCAAGTGGTTTAATTGTTAGTTAATAACCAACATTAACGCCATTAGTAATTGCGCCAGAATCGCAGGCCGCTCTTTGTTTGTCTCGCTTTTGAATCAAACGATACACCTACCGAAGCTTAGGACGCACCGGCAGACACAACCGTGTAAACCCCGAACTCTCGTACACGGTTTATAAACCTATGCAAATGTAAAAATCCTGTGAAATAGCACCAGATAAACAACACGGTATGCTGCACGCGGACTTACTGTGTGACTCGACGTCCTCGGTTCCGTGTGAGGGCGCGTGAACGTCTTCTTCTTCCGGTTGATTAAAGGCGCTTCAACCAAACCTTGGCTGAAAGGAGGAAACGGCTAGTGTATACAAGCACATACAACTATGATAATAGCTAATACATCAAAATGAATACAAGCGCACGCATTAAACTCAAACACAGCTCTCACCGATTCTCTTATCTCATGCTACTTGCGTTCTTGTCCCGGAAGCGTCACCCGTCAGCTGCTGATCGAGCGTGGCCTTGTCCACTTGTCTCACTTCCAGGAAAAGGCGGTGCCTTTAATGCATGAATGTGATTGGCTCTCAGAGATGTCACTCAAACTAAAGGCGCGTTTGTTCTGGTTTCTAGCGGCGGGGATTTTCATTCATCCCAGAACTCGAATTGTTCACGAAAAAGATTGATTCGGTTTGTTTAGTTAATGCTAGCGAATCCTTCTCTGTAGACACTACATGTCCATACCCGATTTAATCAGTGAACTGCAAAAACGGAAATAGTTTCTAAATGTTCTCTGTTATGTAATATGCTAAATAGGTATTATCTAATTATATTTTATTTTGATATATTAGAGACCAAGTATTTTACAGAAGGGAATTTGGGAATCTCTTTTCATCACAACTTCTTCATAAATCATATGCTTGCATTTTTTCACTTTTTTTGTAAAATAAAATGTATAATCAGCAAATAATGTAAGAACTTAACCTTAAGGATATGAACATGAGTAAAACTCGCTGAAGTGGAGATTTTTGGCTCATTTTGTTTTGTTTTCGAGAAAAAAAAAATTGCCATTAAAAGATGTATTGTAACTACACATAGACAGGCCTATATAGTGTAACAAAAGAAATATCTATGTGTATTTTGGATGTTTTCCATCCATGACAATGGAAACTAACAGTAGGAAAAAAAAATAATTTACACAAGAAATTTCCAGTGGTCAACACTTTAAGTGGATTGAAAAGTTTTTAAAAATTGTCCAAAGACAAGAATGGGTGTTGTTCGATAGTTTTAAGACAACTATAATGAAAGGTTTTGATCCTCTTAAAATATTGACTACTGTATATAAAAAGCCAAAATGGCCAATATCTTAAAATTGGCAGGTATGTGAAACTTGTTTACTTTCTGTGTATTATTTTTGTTACTTCCCAAAACCACTGAAGATTACCACTGAACCACTGAATTGACCAATTAGTTTATAACACTGAATCATCGATATACTGACAAATAATTTACTAACAAATCCAGCAAGAATAATAAATTGTCATCTAAACATTTACCTCACAAACACCAACTATCTTCAGTATATTTTAGCTAACAGTCATACATACGACCTTAAACAAATGAAATGAATAATGTTTTTTTACAAAAAAAAAAAATATATATATATATATATATATATATATATATATATATATATATATATATATATATAATAACAATCATCTAAATCCTGGTAACCAATAATTATATATGGTTTTGCTACACTAAATAGCATATACACTACCTGACAAAATCTTGCCACCTATCCAAGTTTAAGGAACAGCAAACAATAATTTGACTTAGCTGCTCGTTTGGTATCAGAAGTGGCTCAAATGAAAGGGAAAGGCCTCTAGATTACGCTTATTTTACCACAATAAAATATGATCATACCATGATTGTTAATTATTTAATTGGGACAATAAGGTCTGACTTTGTTTAGACAAAAGTCTTGTCACTTAGAAATAATGTACAGTATAGAATATAAAGTCATGCTGCAGTGAAAAAAGAATGAATATTGTGTCTGACTCCCATGAGCTTGGAAGACTGCATCCTTACATCTCTGCAATGACCCAAATAACTTAAGGAAATCATCTGGAATGACAAAGAAAGCAATCTTGCAGGAGTCCATTAACAGTCTTTGCATTTATCTTCAATGCCTCCTCCTTCATCTTACCCCAGACGTGCTCATTAATATTCATAACTGGTGACTGGGCTGGCCAATCCTGGAGCACCTTGACCTTTTTTAGTTTCAGGAATTTTGATGTGGAGGCTGAAGTATGAAAAGGAGCGCTATCCTGCTGGAGAAATTGTCCATGTAACCCCAAACCAGGAATTTTCCTTCACCAACCTTGATTGATTTCTGTGAGAATCTTGGGTTCATGCGTGTTCCAATAGGTGTTCTGCAGTATTTGTGATGATTGAGATGCAGTTCAACAGATGATTCGTTGGAGAAGATCAACCTTCTGCCACTTCTCCAATTGATCAATTAGAAGTCAAGTTATTATTTGTTGTTCTTACAACTGTAATTAATGACAAGAAACTGTGCTTGGAGAACTGCTACACTGAATAAATTAATAAATATAATGATGGTTACAGCATTTTTACTAAAATAATCCATGGTTCATTTTTATTCTGTACCAAAAATAAGATGATTCAAGAAATACTCCAAGAGTGTTCTGAGATAAGCTGCATATTTCTGTTGTAATGCCTAGAGCACAATAAAAACCAACACTTACATTTATTAATGATTTTACTTGCATTTAAATGCTGAAATTATACATTTGAGTTAATTCATGAAGTGACATGACACAGACTCCTTAATCAAGAAAATAAATGAATGTGAATTATGATAATGGTTATCCCAGTTTCGTTCATAAACATTTCAAGGTAAGTCCCACAATACCTGACATCCAAAAAGAAGTTCAGTTTCACTCATAACAGAGTTCATCCGTTCCTTTATATGGAGAGTAATAAGTGCCTTCTCTCTCAGAGGGAGGCCTAGCATTCAGACACATCAATTACTGGTCATCAGTCAGTATATAAAATGACACCACAGCTCTGTCAAAAAAAGTGCTACATCTTACAGTATTTCATTCATGTCACTGACAGTCTGATGGTGTCAAAAATCACACTGCCTCTAATGTGCTCTGAAATCAAAGCCAAACACCAGTTATATACATCCCCGACAGCAGTTCAGTCAGTCTTGCTCTCTCTCTCTCACACATTTTAGGTACTTTTGGTTACACAGAAAGTATCTACCCTACGTACATCTTACATCACACAGCTCAGTTCTCACAAAACTAATTTCATCTGAATGCCATTAGTGTAAGTGCGAGTCTGTTTGTGTGTGTGTCTCTTTGGTCCTCAGAATCCAGTAATATGACAGTAGGCCTCTAAGCTGGAGAACGTGATATAGAGGAGCCACAAACCGACGTACAACATTGAAGTCAGGACCTTCATCACTTTAGGTCCACCCAGCTCTCCACCTACCGATGGCCGCCGCCGAAGCATCAGCACGCCGATATTAATGAAGGCAAAGATGGTGAAGAGTGTGACTGAGAATGCAAGCGAACCGGGGTCTACATAAAACACCTGACCTTTGACTTCCCAGTAAACAGCAGAAACTGACCAGGCCACACCAATCCCGAGAAAAACATTCACCGCATTGCTACCGGTCACATTTCCTACTGAAGCATCAGCATATTGATCCTGTGTAGCAGCGACTTTACTTGCGAATGTGTCTAGAAGAATAAAGGGAAGATAACAGATGGTTAGTCAGTACATTTATTTATTTATTTACATACATACTACCATATATTTACCTGGTATGGAGGTTCCCAAAGCAACAAACACCACAGCAGTGACAGTGTCCCGGAGGCCTACAGTGCAGCCAAAATGGGATGCCAAGTCTCCAATGACAGCAGTTAGCAGCCCGATGACCAGAATGGATACAATAAAGCAGGCCCAGCCGTTCCAGTATTCAGTGGGTGGAACGAAGGCAAACAGAATCTTCCAGAACACCGTGACTGCATGCATGAAATAATCACAGCATGACGGCGGCTGAGGTTCACCTCCTTCTTCATCAGCTTCCCCTGAGAGGCAGAAATGACACATCATCATGATCAAGAATCATATGGACACAAATGCAGCTTAATTCATTTCACATAAATATACATATACAGATATTGAGAGTCTATACTGATTTGATTCTACCTGCGCTGACTGTTACCGCCTCGATGAACTGTTCTCTCCAGGAGTGTGTGCCAAGTACTTCAGCAAGGTTAGTATCCTTCAGTAGACGGTCTACAGTATTCTAAACATGCATGCACAATATAGTGGGGCTCAGTGATTGACAAATGTTTCCATTTAACACTCATCAATCAATCTGGATCAATTTCTTAATAGAAGTAATCTTTTAACCCTTGTGTATTGTTTAAATTGACTACTCTTGTTATGTTATGTTTGTGGTGGTTTTTGCTCTATTGGCTTCCATTAAAATGACTTTTTGTATTGTAAAGCATTGACACCAAATAATCATGCATTCTTTTTTTTTATTGAACATTTTGATTTTGAACAAAGTCTGAGATCCACCCAACAAAAAAGTAAAATATAATATAATACTGCAATAATAGGTAGTAAATCAGGATTTAAACATATCTGATACAGTCTCATATTTAACCAAAATTGTACAGTTTTCTTACTGGCACCATTTTTTTTTTCGGCTGTGGTGTATTCCAAACTAATAATGTCCAGTAGATATAGCCTCCAGGATAGATCAGCAGGAGCAGATGGAACTTGCCATATTTTCAGGATTTTTTTTTTTTTTTTGCAGCTGCAGCAGTCAGAACAACTGACAGAATCCTTCTTTGGTTGTTGGATAAGGAAAGTGATGGATCGTCCAGCATGAGAAAAAGCAATGGGTCGCATTGGATCTGAGATTCCATCAGACCTGATAGTAGGTCTCGAACCTCGGACCAGAATAATGCAATTTGGGGACAATAATCATGCATTCTTGATTGTTGATGGTTTAACCTTTTGGGATGTGGTAAACTTTTATCATACTTTATATGCAGTTGTATGGAGTATAACAACAAATTAATTGTACATGTATAAATACACTTACTATGTTCACAATGTTCTGAAAGCTAAGGTGCTTATTTTAATTTTCTTTGACACCACACACTATACTTCACACATTATAGTCTATAAACTTCAATATATAACTCACATATAAGCCAGAAGCTAAGCATTTTTTGACCTGCAACTGATGATCAACAGCACAAATTACAAACTGTACTTCTTCCCAGCAGGGAAAACCTCCAACAATTAATATACAGTTGAAGTCAGAACTATTAGCCCCCCTTTGAATTTTTTTTCTAAATATTTCCCAGTTGATGTTTAACGGAGCAAGGACATGTTCACAGTATGTCTGATAATATTTTTTCTTCTGGAGAAAGTCTTATTTGCTTTATTTTGACTAGAATAAAAGCAGTTTTATATTTTTTAAACACAATTTT